CTTAAATAATACAATTATTTAGTATTAATTGAAACCAATTGAGCATGCGATCATTACCAATATTGTAATTTTTTATTTATTTGACATGCGGAATATTTAACTGCAAGTACGATTTGGCAAAAAGCCTCAGAGTTACCTCATCATCAATGATAAATCCGCAAACGAGGGGCGCTATGATAGAGATAACGTTGGCGAAGAAGTTGGATATGCCCATCATGGAGCCGCTGAAGTTCGGCGCCAGATCTATTATCACTAGCTGCAATCAAACAAAATCACCTTATGTATTCAACTAGCATGAACAAAGCAACCATTTATCTCGAAAAAAAATACTCTGAACAATAATGCAGTAGTAGGAGTATCTAGATTACTAATTCAAAATTCAATAACAACAATTCAAATAACATTTACTAACCAAATACCCAGCATACTGTCCGGCGTTAATGCCAACACTGACAGTTAACATTGTAACGGCAATCCACGTATTACCCTCAGGAGCGTACGACAGACCAATAAGTGCGATAGCCGGACCCCAAAGACCTAGAATTTGTTAACAAGACAGCTTGGTAAACACTGGGCCGTAGAGACATGTCTTCTGCGTAAAGATGACATTAGTCATGGTAATTATTATCAGTGGTGTTAAAGAAAGTAGACTAACCAATAGTGTTAAATAGTCTTCTGGTGTTGCTGATGCTGAGCCAGCCACGATGAATAATAAGGTCAGTCATGGCGCCCATGGGGAAGCTCAGCAAGTACATCGCCAGATAGGGCAGCGACGACAGGACGCCGTTCTGCAATCGTAACATAAGACTAGTTACTTTACAATATTTCACACAATGGTTCTCTGTTTACAAAATGACTGATACCTACACTCTTCAACTGTACTCCCAGTACTTTTGCCATGTACGTGGGCATCTCAGTCATGAGCGTGAAGAATCCCCAATTCTGTCCGCAGTGCGCCACCACGGCCGCCCACAGCGGCAGGCTAGTTACGATCTTCGACCACGGTGACGGTTGCCGCTGGAAAAATCATTTAACAAATATGTCCGTTTTCTGTACGTCGTTATTAATTTCAACTATTGCCATTTCAAGTCTAATTACTTACACAATTTTCTTACCTTTTGATTGTCGACTCGTCCCAATGATCTTTGTATGTATCTTAATTCTTCTTTCGACACAATTTTTGATTGTTCCGGAGACGAGGAACCATATATCAAATAAACTACAGTCCAAATGAGTCCGAGCACTGCGTTGGTGTAGAATATCGCTTGCCACCCCCACTCCGACGCTATGAAGCCTGATATTATTAGCTGAAACGCTATACCAAGCTGACCACCTAAAAGTTATTTGTAAATTCTTGTAGTTATACGAGTATATTTCAAAAAATTTACAGTAAAACAAAGCATTTATAATAATTGTAACCAACTATGTGTCGGATCGTACCATCAATATACCTGCATAAATAATAGTGCTCAGGAGTCCGTTCTCCTCCAGGGGGATCCACTGGCTGACGAGGTGGTGCATGGAGGGGTAGATAAAGCCCTGAGTAAGGCCTTGCAGCACGCGACATGCGCAAACCAATTGCCAACCACCCTGTAATACATTTTTATTGTTTTACCCTCACAGCACATAATATATAGAAATATTTAAGTATGTGGTCTTTTTTTAAAATACGTACGATTTTAGCAGCAGTAGGCATTAGCAGAGATAATAGAGAATTAACAGAGACAGCGATTGTCATGAGGACTTTCCCGCCAACGCGGCGCGCCAGCTCGCCCGCCGGCAGCTGCAACACGATGTAGCCCCAGAAGAACGACGACAGGATCATCGACTGTACGCTGTGAGACCACTCAAAGTGCTGGAAATTAAAAAAAAATAAATTTTTCAAAACTATTGCCAGATCTCTCCTGTTTTAAGATAGGCTTGAACTACTCCATGGACACGTTTATTATCTGACGTCATTCTTTGATAGATCTCGTTAACATTACTATTACTACCAGAAATAAACTAAAATTCACTAAGCGTTTATTAATGATCTAAAGCATTTGTTATAAACGACATTCAAATTGTTCGTCAGTAATGTTTAAAGATCAAAATAAAAGGTTCCCAAAAAAAGTAATCCTGTACATATGCATATGTCACGACTTTACGAAGATTTAGAGTAGGTCTTTCGGAAACATTCAAGACACATAATTTTTCTTTGGGAATAAAGCACCGTTTTATATCACGATACTAAAAAGTTTAAATTGAATTGTCGTTTTATACGAACTGGAGACATTTACGCGAAGCGATCGCTCGTTTTCCTAAGTTTTTACAGCCGATTGTTAGAAGACTGACCGGCGGAGGCCAGATGGTGTCTATAAATTACTGATACTGCCGAATGAAATTTGCGTTAAACGTCTTGTAGGCAGATATTCCTATAAAATAAAGTTTATCTTAAAAAATTAATAGTACTTACTACACTTAAGTGACTTCTAAAGCTGTGACGCAGTTAAACAGCTGTGTTTTACTTAATTTGTTGATAACATAATTAAAACAAGACGTTAAATGGCGAGGTCGCGAAACAAGAATACTGCGTATGCATAAGTAAATAGATATGACAGCCTTAACATAGCCAAAATTTGATGATGTTATTACAACGGGTGAATTCTCATATTGTTGGTATGAAGGTTAACTTTGGCGTTCTATACTATTATTATTACTCTTTATACAATACACATGATATGTAAATATTTTTTAAATAGTTCAATTCGCAACATGACATATTTATAGTATTTGCTCAGGTGTCTGGGACCCTTGCAGTAACAGACAAACGTTACAATACAAACCTCGATTTAGAAAAGGTTTATATTCAAATAGCAGGTCTACAGATACATTTTAATTGCCTGCAAAACTTACAAAATTAAACTGTTTAGTTAATGGAAATAGTACAAAAAGTTAAAAATACATCAATCGATTCTATTATCAGATGGCAGTGACCTGTTATATGTCGTACCGCTATCTCCGCACAAAACATAAACAATTGCAAAGAATGGCATTTTTGCTATAGATTAAATAATGGTTCTATAACCATTTAATACATTTCTTTTATAAGCAGTTTATTGTAACGTCAGTGTAGGTTATGTTCATTATTGAGATGGAAATTTTATATGAACTTTTCGATCTTCAATCCATAACAATATCGTCTTCGAGCGCTGTCATTGTGTTATCAGTGGTTTACATTTTAATGTCTTTGAACATTTGACCTGTAGTTGTAATTAAACATGTTTTATCTGACATCGTGTGAAGATCATAGAATTTCGTAATACCTATTTTATATTTATTTTAAAAATAAATATTGAACTTACTTTTATTTCTGCCAAGTGTGTTTTAGGGCCATGAGAATTTTTTGATGTTGACGAGTATTTTGTGGAAGAGGATATGTGTGAGAAGGGAGTGAATTCACATATGACGGCCTTCGTAGGGCAGTATGATGAAACGCAAGTTGTGGGTGCATGTTATGTACGCGCATACATGTACCTCCGGGTGCTTGTCGTTGGTCATGTCGACGATGGCCATACTCATGTTGACGCGCATGCAGAACGCGAACAGCATGGCCAGGAAGAGCAGGAACGTCTGCGCGTGCCGCACGCCCAGACCATCTTAAATGTTACACATTACCCATGATAGTACCATACTAAAATAAAACCTTAAACGGCTGTGAGGAAGGAAATTCCAAAAACTCTTATTTTCGAGTATCTACCAGAATCACATTTTTTTTGATGATATAAATATTGTTCTATTGTTGATTTAAAGTATATGAAAACATATTTCATTAAATTATTAAATTATAAAAATATATTAACTAATACCAATAACTTCACAATAAAAAAAACTATTATTTTATATTTAATCTGAACTTACTTGGTCGAATATTTTCAATTTTTTCCTCTCCCATTGTGGAGATTTTTAAAATATGATTTAAATTATTTTATTATGCACAAATTCCGCATCGCGCACAGTTGTATCCCGCACAGCACAGCACAGCACAGCGCACACTCCAATGTGGACAGCCAGCCACTAGATCAAACACAGACTCGTTATTTAATATATTTAAATGAAGTATATATTACTAACGTAGTGGCACACAGCCGCCATCTGACTTAATAGCCTCCATTACATAACATAACTTTGTATGTGATATTACACAAGTAATTCACAATTTTTATGAGGATTGTGTTTTAGTTCAATTTTCCTACAAATGCAATGTTTGTGCTCTAAGATGCTTTAAAGATTTATTTTGTTTGTAATACATGCAAATATAAATATCAAAATATTCTATTTATAGCTATTTTTTATTCATTATATTTATTTATCTTAGTTAGTTATTAATATTTTTATCATCAAACTTTAACTTGTTTCATGTGA